ATAAAAGCATTACTTGAATGAACGAAGTTCCTGAGTATTTAATATTTATGTTTCCGGAGTTAAAATTAAAAAATTTTTGCTATAATCAAGAGAAAAGTATTATTATTATTTTTTTTTAAATTTATCACGCGCACTTAACTCACATCCATTGTGCCTTCATACACCACGATGGAGTGGGAGAAATGGGAACTCAGTCTCAATCGCACCGTCAATTTGCATTTGGTGAGCATTTCAAATAAGAAATTAGAACACAGCTGTCAGGAGGACTGTCTGCCTGCTTTTATTGATTGCCTGATTGACTGCTGCCAATGAGAACGCCAAAAGTCAACAAACAGTAAAATTATATACAGTCTATATATTTTATACTTAAAAGCTTTCGCCTGCTTGTACTTTTAAGTGGATTCTTTTTCTCTGTCTGTCAATTGTTTGACTTCATCCTCGTCTGTTTGTCTTTGCCAGCAGCTCAAAAGTAAAAATAAAAAATTATTGCATTGAAGTTGAATTCATTAAGAATCGCAACATTTATGCAAATGCTGTCATTTGAGCGTTGGGTGGTTAATGTCTCAATTTTATTAAAGCCGATGGTTCACTTTTAAACTTTAATTTTCTCTTTAACGTCCAAGCAATGCACTTGAAGAAGTCCATTTAAGAATTGTATTTTCACAATCGTCGAAATTGTAGAATGTAAATTGTTAAAGCAAGATTCCACTTGTGTCATTAAAAACTAATTTCCCAATAAAAAACTTCTAAATGGTTCATATTTTGAAAAATTATAGAAACAATACCGCATTCAGGCTGAACAGCCTCAACTGTTTCTAAAGAACGAAGATTTTTAAAAGAAGATAGAATGCTAATCTCAATTTAAGGTGGAAATTAAGTGGTTGAAGAACTTAAAATGTGAAAAGTTCTTGGTTTTCAGATTTATTATTAATATTGATTCAATATATTTTTGGTTATCTAAATCAAGTGTTAATATTTATTTCTTTTCATAATTTTATTTATACGTTGTTTTCATACAAATACTACGCCTTCCAAAAAAACTTCAAAAATTTAGATTTTTTTTTTTAATTACAAATTATTTAGTCAATTATTGGATATATTTTAAAAACATACTTGGCTTTTTTATAAGCAAATCCACTTTTAAAGTTGAACGATGCTTTCTTACACCATTGACTAAATCAATAATAGTATTAAATTATTAATATTATTTGTATGCATTTATTTGAACTAATTTTTCATTTATCTGTGTGTTTCAAAAATAGATTGAATTTCAATTTTACTTTTATTTATGTTGTTTTTCCTGCTTTTGCTTTTCGAACACCAAAGCTTATCTGCCAATCAAAACCTGTACGTCACATTTTGTAGATACTTGTATAGAGCAATTAATTAATATAACTTTACATTTTTATCCTGCAATGGCATTAGGTTTGTAAATAAAAAAACTCCGACAAATCGGTGGTGAAAAAATGTCTTTCGAAAAAACTTTTTATAAATCACGATTTATTAATAAAGAAGAAGAAATGACTAATTAAAATAGCGTCGTACGACTTATTTTTATTTGTTATTATTATTCTTTCCTAGTGCGACAAGAAAATTATAAATTATAAATTACTGCACCAGTCACAAAAACAAGAAATTTTTATAGAAAAACATTTAAGACGATTTGATTATCCTATTTAACCTATTTTATAAAATTTAGGGATTATTTAATGCATTATTTATTACTACGGACATTTTATATTGTTGGTTACTTATTTTTTAAGAACAAATTTAATTTATCCCTTAATTGCTATGCGCTACTAATTTTCTTTAGTGAAACAGTTTTGTGGGACCTGATAAATTGAATTTGGTTGTAACGGATTAAAAAAGGTTCAATTTTTGATAAATTGCTTCATGAATAAAACTTAAGTATACTTTTAATAACGGATGTTTTTATTAATGAACCATTTTCCCCATGGTTTAATATGTCATCCAGAATATAAGTTCATGTAACTAAAGCTTTAACACCTAGGCCCATGGTGGAAAACTCACCACCCAACTGACACTTAACCCCAATCCAATGTCAACCATTTTTTCGGGCATGCCGATGCCACTCAATCCGCATACTTAAAATATTTGCGCAATCAAAATTAATGCAACTGTCATGTTTCTGGTCTGGTCGATGTATTGGTGGAGAATCCGGGCGCATTTTGAAATGCATTTGGCGTTAAATGCAAACACACTTTGGAAATGCAGTCGAGACCACGACCACGACCATCAACCCTTCTCTAGCCTCCCTCCAGACAGCACTCGATTGATGCGTGTTTAAATTTAAACAGCAAAACCAAACTCATTACCAACAACAAGCGTGCGCGCTTAGAGTCGGCTCGGCTAGTTGCTTCCGCTAGAGCGTCGGGAGAAGAGTGGCACGGTGGGTGTGCAGAGGGGTCCTTGTGGGAGGTGTGGGGGAGTAAAACATTGCCAGCCTAGTTGTCAAATTACCAAAATGTCCTTTTGCGCAATTTTGTGGACATTGGAAATCGCTTTGATTGAACCGCATGCTATGCAGACAACAACAAGAACAACAACAGCAGCCCCACCGATGGACACAACAACAACAGAAATCGGAATAGCAGCTACAACCAGACACGGGGCACTACAATGGTCGCACATAAAACAAACAGCTCGCCACTTGGACAGCCGCATTCAGATCCACATTCTCATTCACATTCACAACCAAATCCACATGCAATTGCAACTGTAAATGCGCTTCGCTGCACTTCTGTACAAATTGTTGTTGATGTTGTGCGTGTGTGTGTGTGTGCACGTTCGATTGGGTCTAGAGATTCGAATTGGTTTTATTGTCGCTTGCGCCTGAGTGTACAGCACATTTTACTGCCCTGCTAATCTCTGCAGCATTTTTAAGTAAAAGCGAAAGCCTCGCCTCTGAATGATGTTGTCGTCCCACCTCAGCAGCAGTGGGACTGGGTGTGGGCCCGACCAAGTTGACTTTGAAAATCAATTAACAACATCAAACAAACGCTGGACGGTGACATGGACAGCTGTCGTTGTTGGGTGCCCGTCGCCATCGCCATCGTCATCGCCAACGCCATCTCCAACGCCATGGCATGGCAGGGAACGTGCGTAAATTGCAACTGTAAATCAAATATGACAACGCGCAGTGCTGGAAAATTTGCATGTGTGTCAGTCACATTAATTGTCGAGTCGCTCTATACGCAAATATACACTCAGAAAAACCAATTGTTATTTTAAAAGTGATTTTTCATTGAATATTTCGAAACTAGTATTAATCTTGAGGGTTTTTTCTGGTCTTTGGAAATTTGATGGGGGTACTATCTCAATTCCTTAGTACACTTAGAATATTGTATTCATGAGAATAGTTGGTCAGTTGAGTTGTAAATATTTATACCAGGCCTAAATGAAAAAAAAATTACAAAATGTTGATGTTCATAAGACTAGTAGTGCTTTCTGCAAAGAGTGAAATAATTTTAATACGTTATATAAGATGTAATATTGAGATATAAGAGGATTTTTGTTTATGCTGACCATGCACTGGTCAATGAGGTCCTATCAGCGGTTTAAAGATATTTGAAACCATACCTATTGATTCACTTACTAAAGCTGTGCTCTGTTTGGAGGACTTCTTGAATGAACTAGTCGTTGGACAAAACCTTTTTATTGGATTAAAATATGAAGACTTAGCCGGGCATACATCAGTTTTTAGCGACTATAGTCCCATTTTGGATCATTATGCTGATATAAAATGTTCATATTAGACTCATAGATATAGAGTTTTTAAGTAGAGAGTTTTGTGAACAATAGTACCATACATAATACAAAGTCCATTATAAGCTGTAGCGTGCTCACAATTCTTATTCAGGACATAAATTTATGAAAACCCGGCTAATTTCCAAAATAAAAATAAAAACAATCGTGTGACATTTTTAGACATTTTGTCAATCAAAGATTTGGTAGTAAAAATCCAGCTTAATCAGCAAATTAAAAGTATAATGTCTGTTAGAATTGTGATTAGAAATATTTATAAATAATATAATTTTTTTTTGAAGTAGAGAATTTTATTTAGTTTTAATTACATTTTCTAAAGTCTCGAAAATTATTTTCTCTAAGTGTATGCATATGCGAGTACATTGCACGAGCTGGGGGTGACGGTGGTGGGGGTGGCGTTGTGCAGGGGCGTATTTTATTGTTGTGTTAATGAGTGTGCATAGCCCAGAGAAGGCTCTTTGTAATGTGCACGCATATATACATATATATGTTAAAGTATATATATAAGGAATGATGAGCCTCATTGCAGTATGATCGGGGTGGCCATTGCAATCTGCTGATGTGACATAAAAATATGTTGCCATAGGCTGGTGGCAATTTTAATTAATTAAATACATTAAAAGTTGCTAAAATGACGAACATTAATTGCATATTAATTGCTGAAATTATGTTTATTTATGATTCGGAAGACAGGAGGACGATGTGACAGGGAAAGCGAAATATAATGCATACTGAATTTTCTTGATTGGGAAAATTGCATCTGAAAAAAACATTGCAAACATGCACATTACGCACATTTCAACATCACTGACTTCATATTCTATGAGAAAATATATCCAACGAATGCTTACATTAATATAAAATATCTCATTGATTCTCATTCTGTGAATTTCTTAAAACTCGAAATTGGTTAAATTTTAAAATAATTGTGCTTGTGTTCTTTCAAACTTTGGGGCTGACCTTCCGGCTGATTGAATTTCCACCAGAAAGGCTTGCTAAGCGCAAGAGATAGAGAACAAAGAAATATTTGAAAAAAAAAAGAAAAAAAGAAAAAGAATTTAAAAAATGCTTCATCTTTTTAAGCACTATTTCAATGTACTTTAAAAAAAACTATTATGCTAAAAAGAGTTATTGTGTTATATTTCACACGAAACTATGAAGTAGGCGCCCCTTTAAATCTTACAATGCAATATTCAGTCACATATTAATAAAATTAAAAATATCAGTACCTTTGAGTCCGTCCTACCAAGCACACCTAAAATATTTTTTATAAAAAGAACTCACGTTGCAATTGAAACTTATTGAAATGAACTCTGATATGAATATACGATTGCCAACCAAGAAAACCGAGGTGCCTTATTTGAACTTCTTGCGTGACTATCGGCATCGCTTTGGCCATCGCTTTCGCGGCTATAATCTGGTTAAGAATGCGGCACTTTTGTGGAACAGACTCAGCATAGAGGAGCGCGTACTTTTTAAGCAGGTATGCGAATGTGTTGTTATATAAAAGGAACCCCAGGATATTGAAAAACCCATCCACAGCCCAACATTAAATATGATCACAAAAGCAGGGTATTCAGCTCTGACAAACTCAGTGATAAAAAGGCTGATAGTGAGCTTAAAACTACTAGCAGCAATGGCAATGAACCGAATAAAGGTATGAAAATTTTTGAATCTTGGACCTCAAACCAGAGTGACGATGTGGACTTAATTTGCAAACTGAGGATGAAAAAAATTACAAGTTGTTGCGGCCACAAACTGAAGATGCGCCAACGTAAACCTATGCCACGGACCCGCCCCCGCCCTAACAAAACCAATAAACGCACTCGCAAGCAACATCCGAAGGCTAAGCCAAAAGCCAAGAAGCCAGCGAAGAAGCCAGCCAGATCGTAATTTGAAGAATATAGCATTCGCCTCATTTCTTTATTAGCTCCCAAATTTGTGGTATGCAATAAATTTTGGAAATTAGAATAAAAACTCTGAGGATCAGTGTAGGTTGGTGTTAATATGTTGTGATTTTATTTTGGTTTTCACGTTAACATTTGCACATTTCAGTAGTCAGGGAAGAAGTGATACAAAAACTAAAAACAAGGGCTGCAAAGGCACAAATTGCTTATCGATTACTCAATTATCGATATTTTGTGATCTCTCGTTGCTTAGCAAATGCTTAAAGTGTTCACAAATTACAAATGTTGCTGAGACTTCCAATGTCTGGCCTAGTTGAATGCAGTCCATAAAACCAAATCTAGTTTCTATTATTAACGACCATTTCCGGTATCCAAACCATCTCAGTAAACAACTTCTCCAGCCTTTCAGGTCAATGGCCACTCGGTAAACTTTTCTAATTAGGCGACCAACAACTTCCCTCAACAACTTAATCAACTCGAAGCGACACACAGTGAAACCTTTCCTCTCCCTGCCCCCCAAATAGACGCTGTGCATAAGGAAAACTAATAAAATTAGTTCCTTAAATTTTTCCAACAACTGCAGACAACTCCAACATGAATCGTATATAATGCAGAAAAGAAGAAAAAAAAACAAAATGTTGGGCAATTTATGAGCACGTCTCTCCCATAAAACCTCATGTTTCAGCCCCAACTTCAATCTTCACATCTCGTTGTATGATTTTATATTCAGCACATGACGTGATAATTTACTTAACTGCCGCCCACGCCGCTTCCCCCTCCCCCCACCCCCTCTATCCCATATTGTAATGCCATCACATAAAACTACTCCAAGTCACTCAAATCAGAGACAATTTACAAGCTTCAAACATCAAGTTTTATGATGTCTAGGCTATAATTATGCGCGATTTGTTCAGGATAGAGTTGAAGTTCGTTTGCCAGTGAGTCGGATAAGCGATTATGTGCAGCATTTTAATGGGAAATTTATGGCCTAGTTTACGGCCTTATGCAAAGCGCGGACAGCAAATACGAGCTCGTTAACTCATAATTGTTGCAATTTGTGGCATTTTATATATATATTCCAGTACTTTATTGTGGCGTAACTAACGAATGATTATCTAATTAGCTGAAGCTAACAAAACGGCTGATGCGTCGCATTATACCGCAACTTATTTTGACTCTTAATTGCTTCATATATATGTCTATTGTGTTATTAGAGGACTTTGTGTGATAAGAAAGTCTTTTAGTAATTTAAGTAAGTTGATTGCAGATCTTTAGCCAAGGTACTGATAAATAAATTAAAGATAACTATAGAAAACAATTTTTTAAGAAAAGAGTGAGATTTATTTCGAAAGTGAGTGAAAGATCATTATAATTAGAGCACAAAAATCTAAACCGATCAGTGAATAGAAAATACTTTCATGTTGGTCTACAAGAAACGAGAAATCTACATTAACAATAAGCAGTAACTACAAAAAACGGGAAATATAAAAATAATATAAATTAACTATTGAACTTAACAAGAATTTTCCATGTTTTCTTTAAAAGAGAATAGTTTTAGTTAATTTTTAATGTGAACCATATTTCGTTCACTTTCAAGAGATATAATACAAGTATATCCGAAAATTATAAGATATCATGAAATTGTAAGCACTATCCACATACAAATATTTACTCAGCATTAGCCTGTACGTTCTAGTATTCTTTTGTTTCTGCAGAGTAAAACAATCTACCACTACAACTAAACCAAACCGCATTATATGTCTCCCATTTTCATTTTAACACTTAGTTTATGTCACCCCACAGGGCTACTAAGCTGCTTCGACTCGCTGACCATACTCAAATGTCTGCGGTATGTGAACAATTTTCTCATAAGACCTTTGCAGCTGTATTTTTTTGTTTTTGAGCGGCTAGACGTCATTACATAATCGTGGGAATGGGCAACGAACAAAGAGCAACGGTTCGTTGCTTTGCGGTGATTGCTGGGAATTAATTAAATAGTGCGGAGCACCAAGTTAAAATAAATTAAAGTTCAGTTGACAGCCAAACTAGTATCAGCAATGCGATATTTTCAAACGCAGCTGCACTTATCCGTAGTATTAAAAATAGGCGGAATAAAGCGCTTATAATATGTACTCTTATTATAAATTAATCACTCAGCTATTGCAGTGCTGCACTTTTTGTGTATCGATAGGTCATCGATAGGCAGATCATTGGTTAGTCTCGCATTATCAAATTGCAAATAATATAATGCTAAGAAAGTGTAGCCAACTTTTCAATCAAACTGAGTAAAATTTTTCGTTCTCCAGCGCTGCAGATTGGGAAGTACTTTTATTGTGATGGACTACAAAAGGAGGTGATACTTCAGGATGGCCCACATTGGTTTTACCTCTAATTGCTATACAATTCCATATTTTTTATTGAACAACTAGGCAATTAAACTAGTTCTCCATTGACGTAAAAAGTGATGATAACGATTTATACTAGTATTGCAGTTTCAACTTTAAGTTCCTTTGTAATTGTGAATTGTGGCCATTGCACTCACTCAATGCAACCAAACCCAACCATTTATCCTGCCACTCAACATTTTGCCGCCGCGCTTTGGCAATTTCATGGCTTTGTGGTTCTGTGGCTGTGTGACTCTTTGGCTCCTCGGCTCTGTGACTCGCCCGACTTTTGACGGCAGTTGTTGTTTTAGTTGCTGCACTGTTTTTTACATTAATTGAAAAAAGCATAACAATAAATACGCTTGAGCGCCGGCCAAGGCAGAGCAGAGTAACAAAAGCCACTCAGCCAACTCGCTGGCTGGCTGTAGTGGAATAGAGAAGCCAAAGCCAAAGGGGCTAGCCGGAAGTGCAAAATGAAACAATTGCTGAATGCAACTGGCAGTGTGGGCTGCGACTTCCGCCCTGCACTAAAAGTTTAAATTCATTTCCGTTTAAGTTCAGATTTTTCCGAAAAATTAATTAGAAGTTGGTGTAACACGCGACTGACTATCGTTATCTTTGACATCAACTTCTGTTCTGTTTTCTATATTTGGCATAGCCCTTTTGTTTACTTCTTTATTCTCTTACTCATTTACTGCCATTATGCATTTTGTTTCCGGCTATTTATGTGCCAATTCGCTGCCCTGTTGTTTATAGCAGCACATATGTATGTTTATAGTATGTGTTACCAAGGATTTCACATGTGCAAGAAGGGCAAGAAGGGTTAAAAGGCGATAGGTGTGTGCCAATTCGCGTGTTTTCGCTTTACAGCGTCGAATGAATCTACGACAATTTGTTATATTTCCGCATTGCGCAGCAACTTGTTATTGTGGCACTTGTTTGTGCCAAAACAGGACAAAACTAAATCGACAAAAAAAAAGAACTGGAAAGTCATTAAATATCTATTTTCAAATGGTCGATATAAGTAGGTGTATAAATTAATATTATTATTAATATTTATGTTATTTTCTGTCAAACTAAAAATGGCCAAATGTATTTACATTTTATGTATTCAATAATTTTATATCTCCATTTATATGCCTTCAGTCTAAAAACTATACAGTCTTCTGTATTTTTATTAAGCTAGCAGGCTAAAATTATTGGTAGTATGAAGAGCCAACAAAAAGGCAGAGGCAATTAACAGCAAAATGTTTCACTATAATTCCAAAAACTCTGAAAATGTTGTGATTTGTGAAGAAAGAAAGCCGTTGATTTCATTTCCGAAGGCTCAAAAAAAAAAAAATATCAGCAATATAAGATGTATTTAAACTATATTTTATTAATAACAAAATATCAAAATTTGCATCCCAGATCACAGACTATTATTACATTAAAACACATACAAAATATGTATTTATTATATCATTTAATAAACAAAAAACTTAAATAAAAACTTATTAAGCATTTATTATTTTAAGGTCCCTTCAGGATCTGACATAAATGGAAAACAGTACAGACACAGTAACACGTCCCTTTCACCAACTTTGTTGTAATTAGTAGCAATTAATTAAGATTAACATTTGATAGTTCCCATGGCCTGTGAGCAATGCAATGTGTGCTGTTCAGTTCCTTCGCTCAATGTCGGCTAGACACACAAATTTCCTTTGGCTGCAATATGTGCATAGGTTGCCTTCAGCTGACAGAGATTAATTGCCGCATTAAACTTATGTATATACACACATTGGTAATGTAAGAAAAGGTAGCACGTTGGAATGTAATTAAATTTGGAAACCTTGATTAGTTCTAGTACATATATATATAAAAGAAAATGTTGATAATACTAGATAATACTACTACTAATAGAGTCATTTTATCCAGAATTTAATGTACTTGTATTAATCATTTATTTCATTGGCGTTTTCTTTGCAGGCCTGAAAGATCCAAATTTGGATAGGCATACTACTAAAGGTGAGCAATACTAACAATTAAAATACTTTTTTTAAATTCAAATTGAATAACATAAGAAACACTCTTGAATCAAAGCTCAATTGAAGTACAATAAATATTTTCATCACTGAACAAAGTCGTCGTCTTCAAGCATCTAAAGGCATTTTGTAATTTCCAACCCTTTTTTATGGCAAATCAAAATTTCTATGTTCGCACATAAAATGCCATCCGCAAATTAAAAATTAATTAAAATACCACTAAACACCTCAATGAATATTAAAACATGTATATACTTTGTATGTATGTATATACTTTATGCAATATTATCTGCCAACAACTTTTGAGCATTTCACAAAGCGACCAAACGAAATTTTCAAAGTCAAAGAGCAATGCTGGGAACGATGCCACACTTTTGCCACAATAACTATAAATTTAGAGGCGTACAGAACCACCAACCACCCACAAACCTAACCTCAACCCCTTCCCAGCAATTGCTCGGTTAAGGCATAAACCAAGAGCCGTTTCTTGCTGCTCTTTAAAACGCAATCAAGCTGAAAATTAATTAAAATTTTAAGCGGGATATGAAATTAATGCTCAGCCGAGAAAATGTTTAGTAAGGGCAGAGAAAAAGATAGAGAAAAGGCTGTAATTGTGCGTGGACGAATTTGTAGATACACTAAAAACTTATAAAATAAATAAAAATAAATAAATAAATAAAAAGAAAGAAATAAAACTAAATAAATAAAAATAAATTTAAAAAAAATAGTGAATTTGTTTTTGTGAAAAAACTATCCGAAACTAATAGGAATGATCCGTAATAAATATAAGAAAAAGCAGTCGAAGGATCGGTCCAAGTGTAAAAATACCATTTAACCATTTAGTTTGAGAAGCTATCGATCCCTACAAGAGGTATTCCCTTTCGAAATTGTTTTTCTTCAAAGCTTTGATTTATTTATTATTATTTACTATACAAACTAGAAACAAATAATTGATCAACACTTTTTCAAACCTACAACAATCACATGCAAGGTTTTATGCGAAGGGTCCGTTGCCCCCATAAAATAAAAAGTTCGCAATATGAATTTGACCACACAGTCATTTTTATGGCGCGATTGGTTGAACTTCTTTTATTGATCATATGCATAAATTATTATTTAAACGCATCTTGCATTATTTAATCAAAATTTAAAATTAAAACAGTTCGAGGTAATACAAATTTTAAATATTATGATCCTTGTAATAAATTAGAAATCTCTACATACACTTCATATATTTCAATCCATTGATTTGGAGCATATTTCTGTGGAATTTTTACCAGTTATATGCTTGAGGAGGCAACTGATATACTCCTGAGTCCAAGTTTCATTAGAGAAAGAGTATAAAAAGACGAGTTGAAAATGTACAAAGCGAGGCAAACACCTCAACGTGCAGTCACCCGCACAACACCTGCCCCTCGGCCCATAAACAATTGCTGGCAGCGTTTAATTTAAAACTCACTTGTTACATTTTTCGACGTCGTAGCTGTCGTCGAGGATGTTGTCGACGCTGTCGGTAGTCGTCTCGATTTCATTAAAAATGTTTTTATGTGCACATTATCCTTTTACTTTAGCGCCGCCTGGCGCTGTTTTAGTGTGCAATTTAATTTGACTATGAGACGTTGGTTGGGCGGGCCACATCCTTGACACTTTCACTTTTCCTACCCCTCGCCAATGGCTTGTTTTAAGCATCTTAAGCTTGTCGTTGATGTCGTTCCACCTGATTGTTGTTTTTGTTGTTGTTGCTGTTGCTGCCGCTCATAATTTCACGCTCAACGCACACACGCGTCCTCTATCCCGTCATCGTCCATGGCCCACCTGTGAATGCCTCTTGAATTTAGCCTTTAACTGAAGAGTTACCACTCTGTGTGTGAGTGTGTGTGTGTGTGTTTGTGTGTTTGTGTGTGCTATATGTGTACAGCCACAATTTTACACCAATATTTTTACTTACTTGGCTTTGAGTTTTCCGGCAGCAACAGAAGCAAGCACATCACTTGAAATCCAATAAACTTAAGTGCGCCACCACTGGTGGCTCTGGCCTGGCCTTGGCTTGTCGATGGCTCTGCCTCTTCTGCTGCCTCTGCCAGTGCCTTTGTCGTATTGACTTGTTGGTGTTGTCCTTGCTGCATGTGGCTTTTTTTTAGTTGTGTAAATCATTTTCCTTTGTTTAGGTAACGATGTAGCTCGCTCAGAGTTCAAGTTCTATTCGAAAAATAGTAAAGACATTTTAAATTTAGTTGTGTTTTAAGAATACCAGCAGCAGATAGAAAAAAAAAGATAGTTTAGAAAATTAAATAAAGTATATTTGGATTATGTGGATTAATATTGGGTTTCAATTTTCACAATTTAATTTTGCTTTTTTAATGTATTTTCTCTGTGTTTTGTATTTACGTATTCATTTTAATTTTTATAAATATTTATTTTTTTTATTTTTTGTTTGGTTTGTTGCAAGTTTATTTGGAAAATAAGTATGTTCCTTAACCTGAATGCAACAAATTGTCTGTAGCGCCATTTAATATATTTTTTATTGATGCCATGTTCGCGCTTTGTCTGCACTACAGCTGGCAAACGAAAACGTTGCCTGCTTTTAGGCTATTGAACTGCTAGCGTATCAGCACTCATATGAAGCCTTTTGTCCGATCTTTTAAATGGATTAGTCTGGCACACTAATGTGATACATTGATGTAAATAGACACTGAATAGTATAAAAAGTTGATAGAAACTAAAAAAAAAAACAAAAAAATTTAAATTTTTGTACGAACGAAAATGTTTAAATTTTGTTGGTGTTGGTTTTTAAAGTCAAATTAGAAATAAGGAGAAAGCCAATGTTATTCAGTAAAAAAAATAATTATAAATTAGTAGCAGTAATAAAAAGAGATAATAGTTCAATTTTTAGATGCTTTGTCAATATGTGATTCAATGAAATAAGCAGAAAGCCAATGTTATTCAGTAACAATATAATTATAAATTAGTATCAGTAATAAAAAGAGATAATAGTACAATATTTAGGTGCTTTGTCAATATGTGAATCAATGAAAAAATTTAGGTCAATAAATTAAAGAAACAAGATTTTTATGTAAAACTTGCCTTTGACTTTTTTTTGATTGCGTGTAATTCCTTTACTTAAAATATAAAACAAGGAATAAGGAAATGTTTTTAGAAAACAGCTGAAAATATAATTGAAAGTACTCTCGGTCTTTTAAAATTTCTTCACCTTGCTTAATTGTTGTATTACAATAAAAATTAACAATACAAATCTGTATTGCTTTTAATAAAACTAATTTCAAAGAAACAACCAAAAATAAGAATAAGAAATCGAAAATTTGTTGATAATTTAAGAAAATAAAACCAATTATCACATTTGCTTTCAAAATTTGTGTTCAAAGAGCATTCATTTGATAGCATGTAAAAAAAATACTAATTAAAATAAATATGAATCTCTCAACTAGACTTTCAGTGTACAGCTTTAAAACTTTTTCCCGACCTTAAGAGTTCAAATTTAAGTTATTTAAAAAAAAAAAACTTACCTAAACTTCCTTTCCCTTACTAAAGACAAACTCATTCAACTTTCTACACCTCCATATGGCCTCTATGGCAAGTCACGGCTTAGGCTAACACCAGACTCCCCTTCCCCGAAGCCATTAGCAATACGACCTTAATACATGCATCATAAATCATAAGCCAACAACAACGGGAACAACAATAACCAGCTAGCAACAGGGCGGCAGTCATATCATCCGCACATATCATAACATTTAACATATTTCACTTAAATAAACATTTAATCCAACAACTTGTCTGGCTTCTGGATACCGCCACATAGACATAGAAAACATTTCGCATCTCACATGCAGCCGCCACCGCCACCGCCACCGCCACATTTTCATTTTCATTTCCGGTGCCGTTTTATTTTCGTTCCTTATTATATGTTATCAAATAATGAATATCAAATGTAATGCTTATCATTTATTTGCCAAGCAAACCCAAAGTGGAATGAAGTGCCTGCCCCGGCCTGGCTATGTGAAGGGGGCGGGCAGGTGGCAACATATTATAATATTTACTTAATTTTCATTTCTAATTTTTTTTTGCGGCCACTGCTGCTTGTTTGTGAGGAGAGAGACGGGAAGGGGAGAGAGGGGCATATGAAATTGCTACCGAACCTTGGCCATGGAAATTTCTGCAGACGTCGGCATAAGGAAAGATGGAAAAAAAAATTCAAGCTGCATAATAAGCTCATAGCGAAAGTTGTTGCGGGTAAAAAGTCAAGTGGCAGACTGAGGGTGGCTGGTGGATCGGTCTCTGGCAGGTGGCGTGGCTCGTATGGCTTAAGCTGCGTCTAAAGCGATAAGCAAAGTATTTGAATTTTTAATAAAATGAAAAGCAGGCAGCCCCAACAACTACAGCCATCTCCACAACCACCATCCACCACCCACCAACTCATCTCATTGATTCATTTTCCACTTGCAGACGCCGCCGAAAAAATTTATTCAAATACGTTGTAGGACGTCGCCGCCATTCGCTGTCACTGGCTGTGAAAATTCACAGCTTCCCATTTCCATGGAACTTTTATGGTCGCGTCAGCGGCTAATCTTTGGTCAGCGAACGGCTGTCCCCTCGGTTTTGGTCTCAGTCTCAGTGCCCAGTGTCCCCATTCCCCCTCTCCCACATAGTTGTCTATTCGGTTTTTGAAATTCCAATTTGAATGCCTGGTGGTTCTGACAGCACCTTCTCCTGCTCCTGCTCCCTCTCGCTGTTGTTGCTGTCCCTAAAATCCAACCAATATTATTTTATTCATGCCGTCGTATTTGTCTTTTTTCTCACTGTTACATTTTGTTCGTCGCCTTCTTTATTGTACTTGAAAATCGTAATTAGAATTGGTAATGTATTCAAATTGACTTTCATTTCCGTTCGCTCGTTCGTTCGTTCGTTCGTTCGTTTGTCTTCCATCGGCATTTTTCATCAAGATTTTTGCGCTTTTCGCGTTTG